ACAGTGCTCTCTATTCATCATTTGCAACTTGAAGAGCTTGTTTGGGTCAGGAACGCATGTGTGGCACAGCCAGAAGGAATCCACCCTGAACCAGTTCCTATTTTTTAACTGTGGTATTTAAAGATGCACACCCTGAACCAGGGAAAAGGCGAGTCATTCAGAGCAGCTCGCCTGAAGAGGTGGATTTTGCTTATTTCCTTTCATAGACGTAATGATGTGTCGCCATATCACTGAATGAATAATTCATAACCGGCCCTGAGTGTGTATAAAACATCTTCTCAAAATCCCTGACTTTGTCTTTAAACTACCTTGACTTTGAAACAAGTGTTTTTGTGCTGCTCTGAGCCGTTAGCCCACCTGGAGAACATCTATGGGTGTCTTGTACAATGTTTAAAAATTGCTGTCCAGGTGAGGGAGTCCCAGAAAAGCAGTCTTTGTGTCCTACGCTCATTTCTAGCTTTTGTGTCACTCCCTTTTCTTTCATTCATTTTTTTCTGGCAGGGGGTGGGGTGGGCACACCCAGTAGTTCTCAGGGAGTATTCATTTCAAGGTTCAGGGGACACTATGGGTAGGTCACAAGCAAGGCGAGCCCCCTACCCGGTATTCTACCTCTCCAGGCCCCTCACTGACTTTTTTCTTTGTTCTTTCTACAAACTGATGTGATCACCGTCTGTGTGTTCACAAATTGTGCGTGGGCACTCACCACATGCATTTGGTGGCCACGAGTCGCTTCCCCGCCCTGGTCTGCCACTGCCAACAGAAGCATGAAAGAGTGCGTGAAAGAGGGCCGCTAAGCAGGGTGGTGATCGGTTGCCCTTTATTCCAATCTCCGTCCCACCATTTATCCCATTCCCTGCTCCTATTCCAATCTCACAGAGCCCCACTCCAGTCTCACACTGCCCCTCATTCCCGTCTCCTCCTGTCCCTCATGCTAGCCTCCCTGCACCTTTCTTGGCCCTTAGTCAAAAGTCCGACCTCCAAGGGTGAGGGTAGCAACTACGCCCAGGTGAGAGAGCACAATCAAGAGAAAGCGCTTCCTTCCCTTCCAGAGAAGCTCTTCTCAGACAACGGTCTCTTCTGCCCTAGGGTGTGTGTTTTCATCTAAGGACATATTTCTCCTTTCCTTAGTCTATAAACAATCATCTTAGATTTACTTCTTTTTTATTTTTGCTTTTTGGGTCACACCCAGCACAGGGGTTACTCCTGGCTCTGAACTCAGGAATTACTCCTGGCGGAGTTCAGGGGACCATATGGGATGCTGGGACTTGAACCCGGGTCAGCCGTGTGCACAAGGCAAACACCCTCCCCACTGTGCTATCACTCCAGCCCCCTTAGGTTTACTTCTTAATAATCTTTCTAGTCGATTTGTATGGACACAGTAAGAGATATGTTAAGCTTATAGGGTGACTGGGGACATCTCACTATAGATCCCAGACTACAATCCTCAGGCCAGATAGTCCTTCCTATGCCAAGTCCTTCCTATGTCACAAGCCAAGCAGGGTCCTTGTCCAGTCACTTCTCTTTGGGTCATGACAGAATTTGTCCATGACCATGCTCTTAACTTATTATAAGTTTTGTGGCACTTGGCCTGTTTTGGTGCCAGGGGAGCTCACAGTTTGTCCTGGTCCATTCAGTCCCTTTGTTGAGACCCTGCATCTGGGGTGCTAGGTACTAAGGACAACTGAGGCATAAGTAGAGTAAATATGAGAGATGCCCAGGGGTAAATATTATTCAGAGTCAATTAACTCCCAAGTCACAACAGCAGAGCATTAACTGTCTTCCTGTGTCTATACAAAAAGGACATTGCTCTCAAGTAAACCATGCAAAGGACATAAAGGAAAGAGAAAAGCAACATTTCACTTACAAATACAAAATCCAGAGTCCCTTGGAAAGCATCTGAACTTACAAGTCACAAGGTTTGATTTGGGGATATAAGTGATTCACGATAGGGGAAGCAGAACACAAAGGAGAGGTTAAAGATAAACACAGAGGAATGGGAGCGCCCCAGGTACACTGCGATGGGTGTAACCCAATAAACCTAGGCTCCTTGTGACAAATGAGAAAGGACCAATGTTATCTTACAACTGCCAGCACTGGTGTGTGCGTGCGCATGCGCATGTGTGTGTGTGTATGAGAGAGAGAGAGAGAGAGAGAGAGAGAGAGAGAGAGAGAGAGAGAGAGAGAGAAACACTAATCCGAGAATCCATGCGAATCCATGGTGGTTGCTGAGGATTTCTCAGATTTCCTCACACACCTGGTGAGTAAACGTTAAGCAACCAGCTTGTCTGAGTGTGTCAGATTTCCTCCATGAGCGCATCTTTTAGAGACTCTAACCCCAGCACTCATTCTACTCTTTAATTTGCTATTTCTAAGGCACTGACAGAACCTAAGAGCCCCCACACTAGCCAGTCCCACCTACTCTTTCTTCTCCTCTCCAGATCTGCTTTCAGATTCTTGTTTGAGTCAATCACCCTACAGCTAATCAACCTACGTGAACACTCATGCCAAGGACTTGGTCTCTGCAGTCATGATGATCAATCACAGTGGCCCTCTGCACTTCCTCCTCTCACTCGCATAACTCTGGAAGGTTCTTCTTGCATTCTATCATGCTCCTATGTAAGATAAAGAATTGTCTATTAAAATGATATTTTTCTAATAAACAAAGAAGCTCACTTTCTTGGTCACTGCGTATGAGTGTATATGTATGTGAGTGTGTGTGACTGTGTGCATATGAGTGAGTGTGTGTGTGGGAGAGGATGTTGATAGAATGTGTAATGGTGTGAGAGCATGTGAGCATGTATGTGTGACTCTGTGTGTATATATGTGATTAGAGTGTATGAGCACACGTGTGTAAGAGTGTGAGAAATGTGTATATATGTGAATAGGAGATTGAGTGTGTATACATGTGTGTGCATGTGAGAGTTGTATGTACTTGAGAGTGTGTATGTGTGTATAAGTGTGAGAAAATATGTATATTTGTGTCTAGATGTATATTTGAGTGTATTTTTCTGTAAATGTGAATGCATGTGCTTGTATGTGTTGCTGTATACATAAGCATGTATGTGTGAATGTGTGTGCATGTACGTTACTCACTCAGCATCTTGGCAGAGGGTCTGGGTGGCTTCCAGGTGATCTTCTCCGGAAAGCTCTGTTGAGAGAGCCCCCAGCAGTCAGAGCTTCTTGCAACTGCAGGGGACTCCTCGGGCACCTGTTCCCATTGCCTGTGCCACCTCAGATGAATGGTTGGCCTGCCAGAGCTTTTGGCCTCCCCTTGGCCCAAGCTGCACCCACACTCCCATTTCCTCTCCCCTGAAAGCATTCTGTTCGGAAAAAGACCCGCACGAGAGGGGCAGGTCAGCACAGTCGAGGCCCCCAGACACCTCCACCGTTCCCCAAGCCTGACTGAAGGCTGCCAGCAGGGATCTACACCCTGGACCCGGACCCGGGTCCAGCAGAACTGTACCTCCCCGGCACAGTGCTTGAGTTGGAAGGCATTTTAACTGCAGACAGAGCAGGCGGAGCGGTTCGCTTTGACCACTCAAACACCACAGTCTCAGGGAGGGAGCAGAGGCAGCTAACAAGAAGCCTGGAGGAACACGGGGTCCATGCAGTGAATGAAAAAGCTTGGCAGAAAACACAAATTTTGTAAACTATGCACCTTCATGCTTATACAGGCACACACAATGTATGCACCCATGGTGCCTGATGGTACATGAATCTGAGCCCAAACACGTGGAGGAAGTGGAGTGAATCTCAGGTCTAGAAAAATCTTACAACGCCTTCATATTGCGATATAACCTTTCTTAGGAAATAAATTTGAGTTTGATCCCCAGCCCAGCATATGGTCCCCAGGATGGCTAAGAGTGACCCCTACGCACTGTCAGGTGTGGCCCCAAGCCCACAACAGTTCTTTCCTATTATTGTTGTAGTTTGAGGGCCTGGGTATGGCTCAGTTGCAGGAGAGCACTCCACGTGTGAGGCCCAGGGTTCTATCTGGCACTGCAAACAAAACAGAACAAAAGCACCACAAAAATCTCATTTTGTGTAATGGGTCGTTTTAGACTACCAGGAGAGCTGTGCCGTTCACACAACCGGTACATAAATTACAGTGCTGTTAACACAGCATTCACATAAATCACGGGTGCTGTTGCTGCAAGGAATGGGCCAGTATCAGTTCACCATCATGAAACAAATCAACGCCTTGTCCAGACGTCCTTGCTTCTAACTAGTGTTCCCCTCGCAGGAGCCCACTTACACTGAACTTCCACGTTTTCTCAGGCTTAGCTGGGTGTGTCACAGATTTTCCTTCTTTCCCATGACCTTGACAACTCCGAAGATTGTTTTTCGGGTGTTTTATAAACTGGCCCTCAGTTGGCATTCGCCTCGTGCTGTTCTCCAGCGAAAGACCCTGCAGGCAGAGCCGGTGCAAACCAGCCCGATCCTGGGCCCGGGGAGTCCCGGAGCCGGTGGGAACCCGCAGCGTCCAGTAGGACCCGGAGACTTGGGGCCGCCGGGGCGTTGGCGGGGGAAATCCCACCGAGTCACAAACGCGCCGGCTCCCACCCCAGGCGACAGACACTGCGGGGACCCCTCTCCGGACGGTGCGCAGGACTCGCCTGGAGAAACGGGACGGGCGGGCACCCGGGCTGGAAGAGGGGCGTCACGCCCAGCCGGGCCCCCGCGCTCGGGCGCCGGGGACAGCCGCTCCCCTCGGGTGGGGGCTGCGCTCACCTGAGGGCGGGCCGAGCGCGGGACCCGCCCCCGACTCGGGATGGCCCCGCCCCCGCCCGCTCCGCCGACTGGCCCCGCCCGCCAGCCCGCCCCGCCCACTTACCCCGCCCACCAGCCCGCCCCGCCCCGCCGGTTGGCCCGCCACTCCAGCCCGCCCCGCCCCGGCTCTCCGATTGGCTCCGCCCGGAGGCTCCTCTCCCAGCCCGGCCTGAGCGGCTGCCGCGCCGCGGGCGTCAGTGCGCGTGAGAGCCGGAGGCCGAGCCCGCCGCTGTGTCCCCCGAGCTCCGCCGACCCCGCCGCTGCAGGTGAGTGGGGCCGCCCGCGGGTCCTGGGTGGGGGCAGCGGCCCGAGACGCCGTCCAGGCTGGCCTGCGGGAGCGTTCGCCCGCGCGACGGGCAGCGCAGAGCACCCCACCTGATTTCTCCGGGGCTGGCCAGGGCCCACCCCAGGGCCCGAGGACACCTGCGTGTCCACCGCGCCTGGCCGCTCCCTTCCGGTTTCTCCGCCTTGGGGCTTGCGGAAGGGAACGGCTTCTGGACGTTTCCTCTTGCCTGGCCTCAGCCCAGCCCTAGGAAGGCTGCATAAACGTTAGACGCGGGCTTGCAGGCGTTAGAGGACAATTGCTTAGCTGTCCACTGAAGTCTTGGACAGGAGAGTTGAAGTGGTTGAGCGCCAGGCTGGGGCCTGACTTCCGTCCCGGGGACGCTGCCCCGCCCTCCCCCCCCCCCCCCCCCGCCCCGTGACACTGTGGCCCCTCAGCACCGTAGGGTGTGGCCCTTATGCAAAATAAAACATAAAAAAACGGAGGCAGAGGTTAGCAAGCTGCCGGCCGCCGGTCCCTGCAGGGACATTCCTGTCCCGCCCCTCTGGCCTTTCCCGTGGCCAGCCCTCGGCTTGCCCAGGGCCGGTTCTGTCCCTGCTCCTCCGGGGAGCCCCTGTTTGGGGCCAGCCCCCCTCCAAACACATAGCAGGCTTGACTGCCTGGAGGGAGGGCCAGGCTTTCGGGAGGGGGGGACTGGCCAGTTGCTCCCCTCACTGGCCCTCCTGTTCCTTCCTTCCTTCTTGCTCCAGTCAGTCAGTTGCTGGGGATTCCAGAGGGATTAGCCTCTTCCCGCAAGGCACTGTGTATGCTGGAAGGTTCCCCCGGCTAGGCGGGCCTGGTGTTGGCTGCCCTGCCCCCTCCTCTCCTACTAGGCTCTGGCCCTGGGTGTCTCCATCTGTAAAATGGAAGCAGTGATCATAGCTACCACCCACGGGCCACTGGAAGGAGGAAATGATTAATAGAGTTAGCTGCTGAGCTGAGCCACTCGGGACCTGGGGAGCCCCACCTGTGTACCCGGGAGGATGGTGCCCAGGTGGACCTAGGCTAACAGCAGAGTCTGGCTCATCCCTGGAAGCATCTCGTTGGAATTCTGGTAGCAGCAGTAATGACTGATCACTCCTGTCAGGCTGACATGGAAGGTCCATCTGTCCTGTCTATCTTGGCTGGTGCTGTCCAGCCCTCCTGGAAAGCCTGTTCCCCCGCCCATTGTTGCCCTTATTCCCACCCCCTCCTCCCCCCGCAGCCGGAAGTTCCCATGTGGGGACAGGTGGCAGTGAGTTCTTCCCCCGGCCTCCGCCTTTGGTGCTGCGCAAGTCAGTTCTCGCTCAGTGCAGCTACGGGAGTGGTGGCTCTTATCCCCGCCCTGTCCTTTGTCCCTGGAGGGTGGGCCTGGTTGCTCCCTGCTCTGCTCTCAGTGTCCCCAGAGGGGCCTCGGAACTCAGCAGATGTCAGTCGAATGAAAGAGACTGGCCCAAGATCACCCTCTATTAAAAGTATTGTCCCTTAGGGCACCTGGAACATTGTACAGTGGGTGGGTGCTTGTGTCTGTCCCCTATGGGTGCCCTGCGGGTCCCCGAGCCCCCCAGGACTCACCCCTGAGCACTGCCAGTTGTGGGCCCCCAACAAAAGCAAACCACTGCACTTTTTTTTTTTTTTTGCTTTTTTTTGGGCCACACCTGGCGATGCACAGGAATTACTCCTGGCGGTGCTCAGGGGACCATATGGTTGCTGGGACTCGAACCCAGGTCGGTCGCGTGCAAGGCAAACGCCCTACCTGCTGTGCTATCGCTCCAGCACCAAACCTCTGCACTTTGAAGGCTGGTTTGGATAGGCAAGATAAGCAGGAGGGAAAAGCGGAAAAGTGAAGGCAACCTGGGTCGACCGAGAAGCCCAACTCAGTTTGGGTGGGGCAAGGGCGACGGGAGCCACTGTCGAAAAGCCGGGCACCGTCATGTGGTCACCGATAGGGAGGGTGGACAGTGGGCGTCGGTGAGAGCTGAGTGGCAGCTGTGGGCCCGGGGACGTCAGACGAGAGCAGAGGAAGCCCATATTGTGGGTGGTGGGGACTCGCCCCTGAAGGGCCTCTCGAGGTAACCTGCCCCTTCCTCTGCGGCTGCCCTCTCTCCTGAGACCTGACGCGGGGCCCCAGCACCAGCCCCCTTGGTGCTCGGCCTGACTCTTCATGGGCTCATCCCCATCACGTTCCTCTTCTGCATCCTTGTCCCAGCCCTGAGAACAGGCATTCCGAGGACACGAGGGAGGAAGGTGCTTCCTCGATGTGGACTTGCATTTTTTTTTACTTTGTTAATTCATTAATTTGGTTTTAGAGTCACAATGAGGGGTGCTCAGAGCTCACTCTTGACTCTTCACTCCGGGGTCACTCCTGATGGGCTTGGGGGATCCTGTGGGGTGCCGGGGACCGAAGGAGTTACTGAAATTCATGGGTGCTCTCTAAGCAGTGAGGTGGCATCACTGCTGATGGGTGATAATGTTACTTGGGCCCCTGGGACTCTCGGCGACACTGGGCAGGGACAGGGAGGGGCCTGGGGAGGGGAAGGCGTGTGGCGAGAGCAGGGCTTGCTTCGTCCCCCTAAAAGGTCACCGCTATTCTTAGTGGGTGACCGGGCATGTTTGTGTTGAACTCAGCACGGGCTGCCCATGCCCCCAAGCAGTGGTGGCCACCCCATCCCCACCCACCCCACAGACCTGTGGGTTCCAGACAGCCTGGGACATCAGCTTGAGGGGGCTTGGGGGGGGTCTGGCCACAGTGCTGGGGATATTTCTGCCTAGGCTGTATCGGAGGGCCAGGGCTGAGGGATGGCAGGAGGAAGCAGGGACCCCACTGGGTCTCAGTCCTCAGCTCTCAGTACCAAACGCTCAGTACTGAGTTCTCAGTACCACGCTCCCAGTACTGAGCTCTAATCACTGCAGTGGGGTGCATGGTCAGCTTGGCCAAGTGGCCCCTTAGCTGTGGGCCTGTTGGTGGGAGAACGAAGCAGAAGCTGCTGGCGGGAGGGGCCGAGGGGTGCAGGGAGCTGGCCCTGCTCCCTCGCCGGCTGCCACTGCGTCCCACACCCCAGCGCCTCGACGGGGCAGCGGCCCCTTGGGACGTTCTGCGGCAGCTTGCTGCCTGCCCCACCTTCCCCCGCAGTGGTGGCCACTGAGACCAGTGTTGGCACAGGGGTCCAGCTGGGGGGCTGGCCTGCTCCTGACTGCCAGGAAGAGCCCGTTCTTAGCAGCCCAGACTCCAGCTTCGTAAAATGAAGGGGAGGGCGTGGGGGGGTGTCTTAAAAAAAGGAAAACAAAACAAAACAAAAAAACCCTGGCCACAGTGAAAGGTTTCTGAACAAGCTCCGACCAAAAATCAATTCAAAGTGCATCAGTCACGGATCCGAAGTGTTCCTGGTGGTGCGCTCTCGGGCTGCATTCCAGGCCGGAGGTTACCGTGGAAAAGTTTAGGAAACCCTGGTGGAGACCACTGCTGGGACCCTGACTGGCGTGTTATGGATGTTCTTGCTTCTAAGGAATAGCTGGCATATTTGTCATAGTTTTCCCAGTCAGGGAGGAGAGCCTGCGTCTTATCTGGACTAGTTCGATTCCTCCACCCCTCTCGGAGCCCGGCAAGCTACCGAGAGTATCTCGCCTGCATGGCAAAGCCTGGCAAGCTAACTGTGATGTATTTGATATGCCAAACACAGTAACGACAAGTCTCACAATGGAGACGTTACTGGTGCCCGCTCGAGCAAATCGATGCACAACGGGAGGACAGTGCTACGGATGCTGCGGAATGTTTCTGTGTTCTACTTTTGTTTTCTGTTGTTGGTTATTCACTTGCATCGTTTCTCATTTGTTGTGGAGGGGGCCAAACCCAGCGGTGCTCTGGGCTGACTCCTGGCTTTGTGCTCAGGGATCGCGCCTGGTGTGCTTGGGGGAACCATATGGGGTGCTGGGCGTGGGACCTGGGTCCGCTGCCCCTACGCTAGAATTTTTGAAGTCAGGTTCTACTCGGAACTTGGCTTTCACGTTCGGTGTTCCTCGAGCTTATCTTTGTGGGTTGAACTTTGCACCTTATTGCCTTTGGCCTTACAACCGAGTTATCTGCACATCGGGAGAATATTAACAAAGGATCTAGGAGAATCTTGTCTTCTTTCCGGCCCGAAAGTGAACAAATAAGGGCACGTTATGGACAGGGCAGAAGACTGCACTGTTCTCGTCCGGGATCTGGATTTTATAGTCTCTGAGTCTTGGCCGCTGATGGGATTACACGGCGCCAGGGGGCCAGGTGGTGGGTGTGACCCCCGCCTACTGGAATTTGGAGGATCTGGATGGAAGATGCTCGACTCCAATCCGAGTAGGCTTGGAGGTCTCGGCCCCGGATCCCGCGTGGCTTTGTCCCTCTGCCAGTACCTACATGTGTGCGGAGAGTGGTCTCAGCATGGTAGAAGACCTTATCAAAACTTTTTTTAATGACATCTTATTGTCTCATTCCTACTTTGGACAAACTTGCAGGCTATCAAATGTAGCCTGCCCACAGGGCAGAGTCTGGCAAACTCCCCCTGGCGTACCAAATATGCCAAATACCAGTAACAATGATGGGTCTCATTCTCCTAAAGAGCCTTGAATATAATCTCAGGGCTAGGATGAAAGAGACGTTACTGGGGCCTGCTCGAGGCAATCGACGAATAACAGGATGATGAAATGAAATGAAAAAATGGACAGGGCAAACCGCCAATGTCTGACTCCTCAGCTGCTCCAAGGGCCCAAACATCAAGGGATGCGTAGGGAAGAGGGAGGTCCGGGGGTTGGCAGTTCAGGCCCCTAGCCCTTAGGGGAAGCCAGGGTAAGGAGACATTCTCTGCATTCTGAGCAGCCCAGATTATTTCTGACTGCCCTTTGCTGTGCTTCTGAGTTTATTATCGTACTTTTAATTCTTTTTTTTTTTTTTGCTTTTTGGGTCACACCCAGCAATGCACAGGGGTTACT